CAAGGTCTCCATCTAAGATTTTTATCGTTTCCTATTTTAAAATCCTTTATCCATTTTGAGTTTACTTTTGTGTATGGTGTAAGTTGGTGGTCTAGTTTCTGGTTTTTTGCAAGTATCTGTCCAGTTTTCCCAACACCATTTATTGAAGAGACTCTCTTGTCTCCATTGTATGCTCTTGCCTCCTTTGTCAAATATTAATTGAGCATAATGGCTTGAGTCAACTTCTGGGTTCTCTGTTCTGTTCCATTGATCTATATGTCTGTTCTTGTGCCAATACCAGACAGTTTTGAGAACCATAGTTTTTTAATATAGCTTGATATCTGGTATTATGATCCCAACAACTTTGCTCTTATTTCTCAGGATTGCTGCGTCTATTTGGGGTCTTTTTTTATTCCAGATGAATTTTTGGAGAGTTTGTTCTAGGTTTGTGAAATATGCTATTAGCATTTTAATAATTTTACCTCCCTCCTTAGTTAAGTTTATTCCTAGGTAGCTTAATTTTTTTGGTGCATTGATAAATTGGATTGTTTTTTTTTACTTTCTCTTTCTGTAAGTTCATTATTGCTTATGAAAAAGCCATAGATTTCTGGGTGTTAATTTTGTATCCTGCTACATTGCTTAATTCATTTATTAAGTCTAGTAGTTTTTTTATGGAGTTTTTGGGGTTTTCTATGTACAGTATCATGTCATCTGCGAATAAGAACTGTTTTACTTCTTCTTTTCCAATTTGGAAGCCTTTTATTTTTTCTTCTTGTCTAATTGCTATGACTAGAACTTCCAGTACTATATCGAATAGGAGTGGTGAAAGTGGGCATCCCTATCTTGTTCCTGTTCTTAGGGGAAATGGGTTTAGATTTTGCCCATTGAGTATGACGTTGGCTATAGGTTTTTTATATATGGCCTTTATTATGTTGAATTATGATCCCTCTGTTTCCACTTTGCTGAGAGTTTTTATCAGGAAAGGGAATTAGATTTTTTAAATGCTTTTTCTGGATTGATTAATATGATTATGTGATTTTTATCTCTCAATATGTTTGTGTGATGTATCACATTTATTGATTTGCAGATATTATACCATCCTTGCACCCCCATGATTAACCCCACTTGGTCATGGTGAATGATCTTTCTAATGTAATACTGGAACTGATTTGCTAGAATTTTGTTGAGGATTTTAGCATCTATGTTCATTAAGGATATTGGCCTGCAATTCTCTTTCTTTGGGGTATCTTTATCTGGTTTTGGAATTAGGGTATTGCTGGCTTTATGGATCGAGTTTGGAAGTGTGCTTTCCTCTTGAATTTTTTGGAATAGTCTGAGAAAGATAGGTTTTAGTTCTTCTTTGAATGTTTGGTAGAACTCTGCTATAAAGCCGTCCAGACAAGGGCTTTTGTTTGCTGGAAGATTTTTTATCACTGTTTCAATTTCTTCGGTAGCTGTCAACCTATTTAGGTTTTTTGATTCTTCCTGATTGAATCTTGGAAGCTTGTATTTTTCTAAGAATGTGTCCATTTCATTTAGGTTGTCCAGTTTGTTGGAGTAGAGTTGTTTATAGTATTTTTTCATAATCCTTTGTATTTCTGGGGGATCGGTTGTTACTTCACCTCTTTCATTTCTGATTTTGTTCATTTGGGTCCTCTCTCTTTGCTTCTTGGTGAGCCTGGTGAGAGGTTCATCAATCTTTTCTATCCTTTCAAAGGTTTTATTTATCTTTTGTATTGGTTTTTTTTTGTCTCTATGTCATTTCTTTCTGCTTTGAGCTTTATTATTTCCTTCCTTCTGCTTACTCTGTGCTTTTCTTGTTGCTCTCCTTCTAATTCTTTGAGTTGTAGGGTTAAATAATTTATTATAATTTTTCTTGTTTTTCTACAGGTAGGCCTGTAGAACTATGAACTTCCCTCTCAAGACTGCTTTCACTGTGTCCCATAGATTTTGGATTGTTGTGTTTTCATTGTCATTTGTTACCAGGATGCTTTTTACTTCTTCGTTGATCTCTTTGGTTACCAAAACATTGTTTAATAGCATGTTATCTAGTCTCCAAGTAGTTG